GTGTATCTGTGGATATTCAGACTATTCAAGTATATCTGTGAATATTCAGGTAAACTCTAATATTATTAGATTGATTGCTAGTTTTTCACTAATAGAAGATTACTATATTTATTCATTCGTGATCGATCATAGTCACGTTCTATATAATGCGTTAATTTTTACTTTTGCAACCTTTTCTTGGATTACTCGATTAACTTTATAAGCGATGTGCGCGGAATATGTGTATTTCGTAATATAATAATTTTTATTTTTTTTATGATTTTTGTACATATAATGTAAATTCTACTAATTAATTACTTTTTTTCAATAAAGATTATCTATATTTAAATTTATCTTTTTTTATTGATTAATGATGAATCAATCAATATCTTGTGACATATGATTGTTTAAAAATTAGTTTGTGAAAGAGATTAAAAGAAATATAAAAAAGATTGATTTAAATCGTGTTGATCTTCTACCTTAATGAATAAAAGATATAGGGTGAGAAGGAAGAACGTTCTTATGATTGTTAAAAGAATATACTCGAAAGTATAAATGCCAGTTGATCTCTTTCTAGCCAGAATTTTAGGTAGTTTTTTTCAACCAACACTTAATCAGAATCATCTTTCTGGTTCTTACTAAATTCTGAAAAAGATTACACAGTATAATGGTTAGTTACCGCCAGGGCCAGAATTAGTTCTGACTTGGGCTTGGCTGTTGCCTGATTTTAAATAAACGCGGTAATACGGGTGTCTGGAAAAAGAGAGAGACGCGATTAGGTTGCAGAAACTTCCAGTTGTGTGCTGCATTGCATATTGCTTGATTATAGGGGGGAGGATGGATGCGAGAGTGATTAACTTGACAAAAGATGAATAATTTAAAAGGATTATACTTCTCCTTTGCATCTTCCTCGATTTCAAATATCACCTTTTTTGCTTTCTGATTAATATCAACCAAAACTACATGTCCTCCCGTTATATATTATTCGAATTTTTCTTTTATCCGTTCTTTGCTGATTTCAAATATATACACATATTTGTTCGAAAGTGACAAAAAGAAATCTTTAATTTCTGAAAAAAGTAGGTTTAGTTTGAGTGGCTGGTTTTTGGTTTCCTCCTTGGATTTTTAACTCTATTAGAAACATATTTTGCTCTTGGCAAACACTTATTTTTGGGTTGGCTTCTTGTAAGACTAATTATAATTGATAATTAATGCTTTGCCTTAATTTGTTCTCTGATTATCGCTTTACTTTTGTGTCACAAAATCTTTGATCGTTACGATTGTGGATCGGAGAAGCCGGAGATGATCAGCAATATCACATGACCCAAAAAAGTGGGAGTTGTCCTGGTGAATTCTACTGATGTGTAGAGACTTTAATAATAAAAAAACTAATATGATAATTAATCTTATGTTAGGTAATAAATTACAATGAATATTTAAAAATAAGAAAGGAAATCATTATATCAAAAATAATGATTTCATATTAATAGACAAAGATTTTGAACTGAAATGACAACTTGTACAAAAATAGCTTTCAGATCTTTGCGAATGTCGCTAAACCATATCGAGAAGATGTCACATTTTAAAGAATATCTCCAGATAAAATTCCAGATATAACTAAATTCTCTCCAGAGCAAAGTATAATTGTCATTTTTGAAGATTTATGTGCTAAATCAAAGAAAGTGCAAGAATGAATTATTCCTTACTTCATTAGTGGCCAGCATCAAAATATCTTATTCATATATGTAAGCCAGAAATATACACAAACTCCTAAAATCATCCGCGAAAATCTGAGTCATCTTGCACTATTTCGAGGAGCGGGGAGCCGAGACGACATTCATAGAATCGTGCGACAATATATGGATAATCCGAAAAAAGCATCTAAGATTATTGATAAGCATTTGCGTGATCGAGAATTCGTGATTTTCGATTTTACTAAGGAAACTGACAATCCGCTCGCAATTAGATTAGGTTGGGATATGCCCCTGAAATTGGATGAGTAGAACTGAGTTTATTAATTATCTGCTTATTTACTGCGAAAAAACTTTGTACTAAAAGGATTTTTATGTTCATGACCGCATATACATTTATTTTCTGATACACATTCAACACTTGGTAAATTATCCTTTTCAGCCCGAATTCTTTATTGATACAACAAAAATAGATATCTGATGATTGATTTGTCGCTGAAAGCAGTAAACGCATATTTACAAAATGTAATAAAAATTCCTTTTTGCGAAAATATAACAAATCACATCTAATTTCATTTTGCTCTTTTCGCTTCTGGAGTGTTATCCGGTATTGCCATCCAATTACATACACAATTAGGACCCTTATCGTTGATTGCGTCTTCCATGCCCATTTTCCCTTTCAAAAACTGTCGATCTGTAAGGTGTGTCTATAAAAGTAAAATAAGTAATATTAATGAAATGCATTTGTATGCCTTGTAAAGAAATACCTCCAAATAAACGCCTATCCTTGCAATTTTAGCTAGAAACCATCGGTCAGTATATGACGTTGGGATTTTACACTTAAATATTTCGTATATCCTATACGTTTTCATACAAATAAGGTCCGTGAGGTAAATTGCTATGAAATATTCTAAAAGCATAGAAGTTAGGCAAGTCTTACCACAAAATGAGGACCCATTCATGCAAAAAAAAAGGAAAACACCTACTATAACCATGGATGCCGACGGATTTGAATTTTTTCGCTGTTGTTATGGAAGATTTTTCATATTGTAAGAAGTGATAATTTAAATCATCCACTCCGTTACGTGCTAGTTTCGTTATATCTTCCATATGATGTGTTGCGTCAAATCCTGTGGGTCCAAAGGACTGTTCATATATAATTGTAGCGTTATTGTCCTGATATAAGACAGCATCGTTCTTGTCGCCTCTCCTTGAATTTGACTGTTTTTGATCAGCATTTACGTTATAAACTCTATCTTTGTGTGCCTCATTTACGATTTCTCCACTAAATCAAAAATAATGTCAATTTATCATAAAAGAAAGGTACAAGATTAAAGAAAGGCTTACAAGGCAATTCCTGATGTCAAATTTCCAAAAAACATCGAAAATAAATCAAGAATTCGATAGACCGTTTGGTTGGACCATGTTTTTTCGTCGCTATTTATTCGCAAACCACCATAGTAATAGTAAAATAGAAAATGTCGACAGACTTCTCTCGTCCATAACATCAATGGCCGTGCATCCCCGTCAAGTGGTTTTTCTACTTCCGACAATGCATTTTTAATATCTCCGTTGAGCAAACAGTGAAGATATTCCTTGATATCTTCAGGGAGTTCAATTTCAACAGTGTTTTTAGCTATCATCTCGAACCGGTCCTCCGCATCCATTTGCGACAATTTTCTAAATGGTTCACATAGCACATATATATTTCGCTCTCTCATATCTTCGAAAAATTCATCAGTTTTACTCTTTTTCTTTGCTGATTCACCTGCAACCTATATAATGGATGTCCATTTATTAGTGGAATATGCAGTAAAATAGAATTACGCAGAAAATAAACTTACAACAATATCATCAGATCCATTGTCTATTTGTGATCGTTGCTCATTATGCTCTTCACCTTGATCATCATCAATTTCACCTTTATCTTCCGCTTGTTTGACAATAACGCTCTGTAGCAGAAAAATCCTTTGAGTACAATATTACAAGCACTGCCAATCATGACTAAAAAAGTCATATCTAACCTGACTTTCAACTAACGAATTGAATTTTTTGTGGACGTTCTCATTGGTCTCTTGAATCGAACGGTGAACTCGAGTCTATAAAGCAGGAATATTAGTATTATCGATCACAAGCTCACGGCTTAAAAGTTTGCAATGACTTAGAATACCGCTCTCTTCTCTTGCATCCAAATTTCCCAGTCTTGTTTATATTCTCCGTCCTAATTAAAAGAAAGAACAAGCTTAGAAATTCAATAATATAAACATGAAAAAATGTATTCGATTATGTACATCAAATTTTTTTCGCATTTCTGTAAGTTTCTTCTGTATTTTCCTATTTTTAGGATTGCACTCCAATGCTGAATTAAGAGTATTACGGTACTTCTCATCTGCACGGTTACGATGAGTTGGTTTTATAAATCGATAGAACGAAAGGGGTGTAGGATTATCACAATTGATCATCCATTTTACGTTTTCTTTTTTCTTGCCCTCAGATTTCGGCATCTTCAAAATCGTAAAAGATATGGGTAAGTACCTTGTTGAACAAAACTTATCAATTAGTCATCAAAAGGAGATGTCATTCACTCAAGACCGGCCATCCACTGATGACTTGCCATTATTGGCTTCCGACAGATCTAGAGATTCCAGTCTGCCCGCTGGCGTCTTTTGTGCCCAACAATCTCATAATAACTCTGTGCGACTGAAATCTTCACTCAAAGCCGGCCATCTATTGATGACTTGCCAGTATTGGCTTCCGACAGATCTAGTATTCCCAGTCTGCCCGCTGGCGCTTTTCGTGCTTAACAGAGCTATCGAAAAATTATGGAGAGAAAAAAAACTAGACTCGCCTGAATAAGTAATTTATGTTAAATATCACAAGGTATCGTTTAATGACGAAGAATCGTAAAAACGCGTTTTCTTTAGATTGATTGACCATATCACAAGTCTACTTATATGGAAATTTCGATCGAACAACTCATCTAGATCAGCTGATGGATAAGCCTGTAGAAGATATGATTGGCTTCGCTTCATTTTTTAATTTGTTATGATTACAAATGTTTTTAAAAGACAAACATGAAGAGAAAGAGTAAACTTCAAGTAACCAAAATATTTATATCTCAAATCAGCATATCAGATTATTGCAAATAGCCCAAAATCATACTGTGAAGATATAACATTTTGAACTATGAAGCCTAATAAAATCCCAAAACTAGATTTATTCTTTCCAGAAAGAGGTACAATAGTTATATTTGAGAACCTATATGCTGATCTAGTGTTCCTATGAACCGAACTGAACTGGACTTTTGCCCAAGTTCGAGTTAAGGATGCTTGCCTAAATTCTTTCAGAAAAATATCGTCATAATTTCGACGGGTTACACACTAATTGTTA